CCTCTGCTTTTAGCTTCCTGATTTTCCATTGTTCATTGGCAGATATGTTATTGTCGACGGAGAATGTCATAATAATTTGTGACAGTTTCTTCAAAAAGTCTGCCGATAGGAAGTGCGAGCGATAAACTGATATTCTTTTTCGCAGTTCATGTCGGTAAACTCAGAGTCGGTAAAACAGGTTCTTTAGTGCTTTTGCCTAACGTTTTTACCGCTGCTTTATTAATCATAGATCAGCTCATTACACATTTGCCAGAGGATTCCTTGTGCAACATTGTTATGCCTGTCCCTGCACGGAACATTCTTCAGCATCCAAAAGCTGAAATTACATGAATGACTGTTCCCTCGCGTTTCTAGCACGTCCTGCACTTCATTTCAAGCTGTACATACAGAATCTTCGTTTATGTCAATTAAAATGCAGTAATTCATTTTTGTATTCATACTTAGCACACATATGTGCTTTGCTTAAAGTAGGTAGCCAAGTTCAGTTTAATATAGATAAAACGTTACCTTCTCATTAAATGGTGTATAGCGAAAGGATTTCATCATTACTCTATTTGGAAAACGCACGAATTATGGTCCCCCTGTTTTCTTCGGGATTTGTAGACTGAATATCTTTTAGAGAGATTTTCTTGAAGGCTGTATAGAAGGCTTGTACTATCCTGTTTACTACTGGTTGTCTGGCCTTTAATTTTTGTGCAAGCTCGTCGGTCAGAGATTATCTTCTTCGCTCAGGAAAGACGGATGTTGTCCAACTGAATTTATCATATGTACTTGTAAAAAGATCGAAGCTTTTGCCTGTTGTAGCCTAAGTTGAAGGATGGCCACTCTTCTGTTGACAGGCTTCTATCCAGTGGCTTACAGTCTGGTTTGGTTCTGTCAGAACGTCAGATACAACCTGACCACAGGTCGTAGATGGACATCTGAGTAGAAAGGCTTCCATCGGCAGAGGTTTAGAATTCCAGAACTTTAACGTTTCTTTGACGGGAGATCCATCCATGTCCAGTTGGCACCTTGAAGTTCATGGACTAGTTTCTTTCTTTTTCTCTCTGAATGAAGAAATGTTCAAATTTCTGCCTATGAGCTTCTACTGCGGGTGTTTTCCGGTGTATCACAATGGCATTGCGTTGACAGCCTCATCCGTTCAGAATGGGTAGGAGCTCATCTGTGGAGTGGTCTTCGTCATCGCGTAGAATTTCAGTAGTCATTGCCGGTAGGTGTAAAACCGGTTCTAACTGCTGACTTTTCGCAGCCCGTCTTTCCATAGCCGGTGTTTTACTTTTATATTTGAACTTATATAAAGTGTTATCACATTTAGGTGAAAGTTGTTACACAACTGGCAGCAATAATACAGGGAGCACGACAAAATTCGTTGGTCCGGCTGGGGATCCATTTACCGGAAGTCGTTATATTCCGTCTGGCGACTTTAATCAAACGAGCGCTTTGTCAGGTACGTTGGATACCTTTGATATCGACACGTGTTATTTTTTATTTTCAGAACCGCTCAAACCACGTGGCGAGCACATGCCTTTAAAGTCGTACATTGTTTTCCAAAAAGTTAGTGCTGATGCATTGCTAGGTAAGTCTAAAATCTGGCACGACTGGTTTTATAAATTTTTGTAACTGACACTGTTTTGCCACAGATGTTCAAGTGTACGTTTTGAACGTGAGTTCTCTCTACAGGAAATTACGCGATATCGATCATTGCTAGTTTGTACTTTTTACTTAACTACGAGCTTATGATGTTGTCTTGCAGATTTAATGACCTTCCCTTTTTTGTTATTTTGAAAGTTTCTTACCCATTCCTTTCTTAGCCAACTTCTCGTCAATTTTTATTTCTGTAAATTCTGTTTTTATAATTACTTATATTTGGACATAGCCAGTTTCTTCATAACTGATGACATTAGTGTACTACCCTACCTATTCTTCCTAAAGGTTAATAGGGTCATTTGATCAGGCCAAAGCTTCATTACATTCTAGCGCCTGCAATTCATTATCAGTTATTCGCTTTAGAAAACAGTTTTTCATATGCTTTAAGTGTGGCACGTACACCGTAATTAAATTAAACCACAGAGAATTGATAATGCAAATAGTTCAACCGAATAATGCTGTTGCAATGTCTACTTTGTCCAACATGCTTCATAGATCATTTAAGTAGGCAAGTTTAAAATGTTTTTTTTATTGTTGAATCGTTGCTTACATTTTAAGGGATATGCTACAATCTTGCAATGATTTGCTAAGTTTTTTTGTTATTTTTTTTTACTATGAGGGATGAAGGTTTCTTTCTGATATAAGTTCAGTCACAGTCTTACAGTTAATGTGGTAAACTGCGCCACATTTGTCAAAGCGAATTTGATCTTTTCTTAATAAGTGGACTACGGGAATTATAGTTTTATAAGTACGCAAAGTGATTTTAAAATAGCGTTAAATTAAATAGAATTGTTGGATTTGAATGGATTCATATGATTGATACTCATAATTCATGATCAGTGACTCATGACTGACGACTCATACTTCATGATCAATTACTCATGATTGACAACTCTTGACTCAGGACTGATGACTCATGATTGATTATTCATATAAGAAACGAACCTATGGAGCAAAAGGTTTGGTCTTAAATTTATCGTGACTGATTAATGTGAATGCAGATGTCAGCAGCCATATTTCAACCAGAAATATTGTCAGCAGTGCTGAGTCCCAGCAGCACACTTCCTTCCATTATCCCTTTTAGTTCAGGGATGGGTTGCAGTGCAAAACAGAAATTCGTCAATATGTACGAACTGCTAGAGCTTTGAGCGTGTATGAGGAACCTCACCAAAATGTGAAAAAGTTGCAGAATCAGAAACTCAATGAAGCTGTCTTGCAAAAACTTTGAGCGGACGACTGAGCTGTGGAGGCTGAACGCACATGCATTAAAATGTTTGAGATTTAGTGTTACAAACGATTGTTACGAATCTCCTGGAAGAGTTATCCAGTCGTTATCGTTATCCAGTTATCGCATATAGTTACCCACTCGAATTTACGTAACCGAATTCTAATTTTTTTGTAAATGTTAATTATGAAAAGCAAAATTATCTTTAAAATGTCCAAAAACGGAATCAGTTTTTTGTTGTTTCCTTAATTTTTTATGTTAATCACTTCAATTTTTTATTGCAGCAAAACTGAAAGAATTTAACGAATCTGCTGCTGTTGGCTCCTTCAAAGTTTCGGATGAACATATGCGTCACATAGAAGCCTTTTTGCTACGCCAAGTTCCACCAGAATCATGTATTATAGACACGTTACAGAACCTTACCAATTGGCCAGTAGGTAATTAAGGACATTTTTTATTTTTGAACGTCGAAGAAGGTTGTTTTTTTGCTGTTCGTAGTAGTAAATGCTTCTTATTTTATCGTTGGATAGTTACGGATGGTTAATAATTAAATTCCCAAAATTAATCTGTATTAAACCTAAAAATCGAAGAATATATATTCGTTTATATCGGAGACTAAGCCGATGGTTTTCGAGTTCTTATCACATCTATGACCGTGTTACTATTCATCGTATGATACCCTCATGACCGTGTCATCCAACTGATAGCAATTCAGCTGATACGTGGTCCTGTTATTTTTGACCCACGAATTCAAAGCGTTTATTTCTGTACCGAAAATGTTATTCGGCCTGTTACACTGTGATCAAGTTAGAATTGCGATAGTCTTATCACACTGTCCAATGCATGTCCCTTAACTGTTAACCAACCTCATAAAGATTATGTGCGAGTGACTGTGTCGGGGTATAGCTTGTAATTTCTCTCGATTGTTTGACGCTTTAATGATTGAGTTCCCCTGTATGAAAGGGCTGGACAAGCTGCGAAATGCGGCAACTTGATACGCTGTCTCACTGAATCGCTCTTCAGATCGAGCTATCAAAATGCCATGATTTGGACATGTTATTATGATGTCGGAAGAGAGACACGCAAATCAGCTTTCTTGATAGAGTCACATGGAAGTCAATCTAGCGATGACTTAGTATCTGATAAATTGAACCCTTGGTAATATCATGTATTAAAATTAGTAAGTAAAGCTTCCCACCTAGAGAGATAGACTGGAATTATTAAAATGTCTTGAAGCAGCAACTTTTATGATCTGTGAGCTCCCTTATAATAAGGCCTGAATACGTGAAAAATAACG